AAGTTAATCGCAGTGGCTTTTGAATGCGATGTGGCCTATACAATGACTTGCGGGGGCCAGCCGATGTTCAAGTCAGTGTTTTTATCCTCCCAGACAAGTCTGGTACCAATTAACCGACCCCGGAGGGATGGAAGGCTTGGTTGGCCCGGGCGACTCACGACCCAGGATTTGATCCCGGACCGCTCGCGTGGTAAGCGTGCCACTTGCCACTACACCACTTCCGCCCCGGACTTCATAGAGTAAGGCTATAAAAAATTTTGTATCTTGTAGGCATTACAATCGAAATCGAGAAGATCGACGGACTAGTTGGCGATGACACAAAGCGCTCTATGAAAGAGCAGCTGAACGAGGACCAAGCCGCCAGGCAACGAAGGCTTGAGGCCAACAAAAAGATGTACGTCTTCTTTTGTGTGTTTACTGGACCGCCCGCTAGCTATTTGCATTTACAATGAATTCTCAGAACGTTTGTTAAAGGCTATCATCCTTACATTACTCTGCTTCTCGACCGTTAAATCGTTCCGTAGCACGCCAGAAACGCAGGCTGAATCTTACAGCCGCGTACTGCTTCCGGGTTTCTCGGCCACAGCTGGCATACAGTTTTTTTACCGAGACGGGTCCTGGCCTATCTAGGTGGGGGTCTGCCTCTGGGCCTTGTTTTTCCCCTTGGGTACCAGTCAGTCACTCTCTTCGTCCAGCGATCATCGGTAAGTCTAGCCACATGACCGGCCCACCTCCGCTTGGAATTATAGATGGCATCGACGACGTCCTTCACCATCGTACGAGCGCGGATGGTGTCATTGGGTATGCGGTCTCGGAGCGTTACCCCGCACATGGCCCTCTCCATGGCTCGCTGAGTGACTGCGAGTTTCTCCTCTTCAGAGACTGTGGTGCTCCACGTCTCCGCCCCGTAGGTCATCGCGGGAAGAACATGCGAGTTGAAGACGTGAGCTTTGACCCCGGGGTCGACGTGTTTAGAATTTAGTATTTACATTTCGGAGCTTACCGAAAGCGGTTCAGCCCGCTTTGCAAAGGTTATAAGGTCTAATAACTCAGAAAAATGAGAACTACACAGACCCTGTTCCCGTCCCCCATTGGGCCTATCCTTATTGCAAACTTGTGATCACTTGGCTTCAGATTGCATCACATAGCATCAGGAGCACCAAGAACTACGAGTGATGTTCGACTTTTTGCGACCACAGCCACATGTGCTTGTCACTTTATATAACGACCAGGTCTCCACGTGCGGAAAAACCAGAGTAAACCTCATCATCCGTGGCGCTTCAATCAGGCATTTGTGTATGCCTTACTATAGCCGAGAGGTTCTGCAATACTCTCTCCTGGAAATTTCGGGTCGTTTAGGCAGCTGGATTTTGCAAAAGGGCCACTGTCAGACCCATCAGTACGAGCTCCCTAAGGCAATCGTAGCAAACAAGCGAAGTTTCAGACGCGGTGGAGTACCTATCTCAAAGTTCCCTTCAATTCAGAGCCGAATCCGATGAGGAGCTAGCACGACGTCTTCAACGCGAATTTCGAGGAGGAAGTTCGACGACAGCAAGAAGAACAGGCTCAAAGAGACGCAGAACTTGCACAGCGGCTCGCTTTTGTAGAACAACCTCACATTTGGCCTCATCGAGCAGGTACGTAATAGCAGATTGTTTTTATGTCATGATGATAGGCAGCTCATTCAAATTTAGATTTTGAAAGTGACATCGATTTCTCAAGAATACATAAAAATCAATCCAATTGCTAACCGCCTTCTAATATCAATATTCGAGTGACTTGCCAGTGGCACCACCTTCATACACATTGATCAGCCTTCAGTTGCTCCACCAGATCAACCCCTGATTGATATCACGAGTGATGGTCACACCACTACGGTAAGGTTTTTGCAATTTGTAAGCCTCAAGCCCTGCAAAGAAACTTGATACGCTCAACTGAAACATGCCAAAGAAAGAATTCGTGGGAAATTATTATATCGGAGGCAAAAGCGGAGCATGGCTTGATCCACTTAATGTTGATTATGGTACACGTTGACGCAAAGAAATGTGTGTCGTTATCAGCTTTGAGCAGCAATCACGGAGGCGATTGGATGGATGCTCGACATGCAGCGACAAGATGCCTGCGTAGTGAAGCCGTTGCCGCCTAGGAATAGGAATTTTCTTTCGAGTGAAAAATAAGACCGGGAATTCTATGACCTACATAGATAGGCGCTAAGTAGTCTGACGCCAGTACAGTTGTAGGTCTTCCAGCTGTGCCCTTCCTTTGTAGGGTGCGAACCTAAAGGCACATTCCACGACTTCGCTGGACTGAGTTATTGTTCCTGAATATAAAAGTAGGTGTGGCATTCGTGGATCAAAAATGAAGAGAGTGAACAATAATGCTGGAAACACTCTAAATCTGTTGCAAGTAGGGATGTGGGCAAAAGGGGTCCTTTTTTATTGATCGACTAATCCTCTTCGCGAGACACATCTCTTGCTCTCAACCGTGTCCAGGGGGAGTGATCACTGAGAGGGTGCAGCGATTTCTGCGCATGCGATCAGTAAGGTGGAAGGTGACTTCAAAGGTTCTCAGCACTTTAGTACTGACTCTCACTTTGAATAGACCAAGTATTATATTACTAACATTTTTGAGAGTAAGGAGGGCCAATCCACCGAATCACTAGTGAGTAGCGAGTATGAGCGATTTGCAAGCGGATCGCAGGATGCTCAGCGATTCGAACTATGCACCAGCGACCCGAAGTGCTGTGAGGTGGCGAGAGTCCCTCTCACACACGCATTGACTATCGCCTTTTCCCATGCCCAGGCGCCCTTGTGAGCCTGGGAAAAGAGAAATAGTCAATGTGAGAAACCGCTGGTACAGCGTCGTAACTCGCAATTTGCAAGCGGTTAGAGGCAAACCCCGGGATTAGCCCGACTTGTGGGAAGGATACCGCGAGGGAAATTGTAAGGTCCCTACCTACCTAGATCACTCCAGCTTCGCCGCAAAAGTTGCGCGGTTAGGGCGCTAATCCTTACGGGCCTGCAACCATCGACCCCCGTTGCAACGCTTCCCACCCACTCGCATGCTCTCTTAAACTGCG